GCTGCGGCCTCAGCTCCACCACATACTGGTCTGTAGAGATGCTGTACCAAGGCAGGCCCTTTCGAAATTTTCTAAGAAGGCCTCTGTATCATCGCCTACCTTGTAGGTGAGGAATTTTTTGGAATGGGGAGTGGTACCTGGAGAAAGATTTGTTAGGGTTATCTGGTAGACCCAACTTAGCCCTTTCCAGATCTAAGCGCTTCAGCTCTAACTCTGAGTCCAAGCGTTTCACCTCCATTTCCATCTCCAAGCGTTTTGCCTGTTTCCTCTCCTCTGCTTCCAACTCCAAGCGCTTTAAGGCCATCTGTCTTTCATGTTCTTTCTGTCTCTCTCAGCTTCCAATCTGGCCAATTCTAGTTTCCTTTGGACCTCATTTCCATCATCCTAGCCTTCCTGCGCTTAGCCTAGCCTAATCCGAGAGCTAGAAAGAAACAAAAAAAAAAAACAGCTTGTGAATTCCCTTGCAGGAACTTAATTACTCTGCCCTCAGGCAGAGAAGAAAAAAAAGTCCAGCTGCTCTCAGCTTAAAAAAAAAAAAAAAGTGTCCTTTAAAAAAAAAAAACCTCTTTGGTTTTCAGGCCCAAAATAAAAAAATTGTCCTTTTAATATCCTGAGGTCTGTGCTTCTGGTTCAAAATGAACCCACCGCTCTGCCACCATATCAAGGTTCCCTCCCCACTCTAAACTCTGGGGTACAGATGTGGGGACCCGCATAAAAGACCCCCTACGCTTATTTCTACCAGCTTAGGTTAAAACTTCCCCAAGGCACAAATCCTTTCCTTGTCCTTGGACAGTATTGCTGCCACCACCAAGTGATTTAGACAAAGATTCAGGAAAAGAACTACTTGGAGTTCCTATTTCCCCAAAATATCCCCCCAGGCCCCTTCCCCCCCTTTCCTGGGGAGGCTTGAGAATAATATACCAACCAATTGCCTTTAATAAAAGTACAGACCAGACCCTTTATTTTTAGGACACTAAAAATCAATCAGGTTCTTAAAAGAAGAACTTTATTATAAAGAAGAAAGTAAAAGAAGCACCTCTGTAAAATCAGGATGGAAGGTAATTTTATAGGGTGATAAAAAGATTTAAAACACAGAGGATTTCCCTCTAGGCTCAACTTTAAAGTTACAGAAACAGGAATAAACATCCCTCTTAGCATAGGGAAAATTCACAAGCTAAAACAAAAGATAATCTAATGCATTTCCTTGCCTTTACTTACAATCTCTGTAAGTTTAGATGTATCATCTTAAGGTATGTTTTCAAGAGATGGGTTACCTGTTTGGTCTCTCTCTCTCTCTCTATCCAGAGGGAACCAACAGAGAGCACAAACAACCACCCCCCAATTTAAAAGTATCTTCTTGTCCCATTGGTCCTTCTGGTCAGGTGCCTACTAGGTTAATTGAACTGATTAACCCCCTTATAGGCAGTGATGAGCTCCCAAAATCCTAAGAACTGATTCCTTACCGGGTCCTCGGTGGCACTTCAGCAGCGGGGGAGAGGAGGGGGGGGTCTTCACTCGCTCTGGGTTTTCGGCAGCAGGTACTTCACCCGGAGCGAGTGAAGACCCCCCCCTCCTCTCCCCCGCTGCTGAAGTGCCACCGAGGACCC